TTTAAAACACAGAGGGAAAAACTTTGAAATGATGACGTCAATCGTGCGTCTGTCCTCTAATAGATCATAGCCGAGAACCAATCAAAATGCGAGAATAACTTGGGTCATTATATAATCGACGTATTTACATCCAACCTTCTCATCATGCGCCGCGCGTATGTTACATTGATTGTGTTGGCCACTGTAATTTCTATGGCATGATACAAAATAGGTATGCAACGCTCTCTCGTGGTATATCATGGAATATCCGCTTGTCATAAGCGACTCGTGAGATATTCCATGGTATAACACTCCAAAACGTTGCTAAGTTATTGTTTGACAATTACAAAAATCACTACTATCCTTTGGGGCAAACGGGTATCATTTAACATCTTCAACCAAATCATCCCTTCACCAGAGTGATTTTCAAATTACGTTAATTCAAGCTCGATCAACACCCTGTAATGCAGCCCATGATCAGGATCGAGATTTTCTTCGGCGTGCGCTTCCAACTGCAGTCTGTTGAAATCAAAAATAAAATTGGATTCCTCTGAGTTAGTACCTCCATGCATCGTCCGTGGTATATGGTTAGAGGGGTACGTTAAAGTACCCACATACTTATCGGGAATAATAGGGCACGGAGTTTCCGGTGCATGGTGGTCTGGTCTTGTCTCGTTAGTTGGTGCCTCAGAAGGGTTAAACTCATTGCGCCTTTTTCCCGTTGATAGGATTGTCCCAAAGAAAAATTAGAATGTCTATGTCTTTATTCTGGTGCTCAGGTGTATATCTAAGCTCGAACATCTATCAGTGTAAAGGACTTAGTAGACTTAAGTTAGTATCTCCCTCGCAAATTTGGGTAACATGTTTTAGAACATTTGAAAAGGTTAAACCCTTAGTTAGTGGACAGCCGGTTGTAACCTTTGTGGGGTTGCATTCCAATTATTGGAGTGTTTTGTAAGCATGCGTATTTCCTAGAATCTTCCCTAATGATAAAACGAAACTGTTAATAGCATCTGAGAATCTTGATCTCATTTATTCCAGAGAAACTCGTTATACACTTTTTTCAAATACAGCTATTCGAGCAAATGGGGAAACTTCTAACTGAGAATGAGCCAGACATACATTACAGAATGTAGTGATGTTTTTACTCACCTAAATGCAGTAGCATTTGACCCTTAGATGTTTGTACGTTCCCCAACTTGGATCACCAAACACGGAGTTGCTGCATTCTCTATTTTCCAATTGCCCATAAAGCACTCTGTTTGGCCCCCAAATTTTGCATAAACTATTGTTGTGAAGTACTCTTGGGAGGTCTGCATATTCCCAAGAGCATTTCACAACAATAGTTTATGCAAAATTTGGGGGGCAAACAGAGTGCATTACGGGCAATTGGAAAATAGAGAATGGTAAGCAGGATGCAAATAGATTTGTTGTTGCATTTGCCTTTCACTTTTGAAAGAGAATTGCAAGCGTGACAATTGGTTGTGCAAATGCTTCAACGCACGCACGTGTGCCGGACGGTCATGTCTGCCATAGGACGCTTCCAACACGTTGATTTTCCCTCCACATGGGCACTTTAAGGTGGTCCTGCCGTGCTCACAATCGATCAGTTTGAATCGCCGGAATGCACTGGAATTTGACCTATAGATATTTGAAGGTTTCATGGCATGGATCACCGAAAACTCCATTGCTTCCATGCAACTCGCAGCTGGTTTTGTCGTTTCATGTGCTCTTCACAATCGCCAATAAATTCGCCGAGTGACCGCTGGTGGTGCTTATACTGGGGTGACTTCAGGTAGCACGGACATGCCTGTCATAAGACGCTGCCACTACCCTGATGCGTCCCCCAATCACGCAGCGGATAATTACGTTGGTATGCTTACAAATAGTCACGTACACTAGGTCCTCTGCAGCGTAGAAATAAATCACAAATTTCATGTTTAGAGTGAAAACTCTTTTGCTCTAAAATCCGAGGGTAAGAAAGAAAGAAAGAAAGAGAAAGAAAAAATGGCAATTAGCACGATATTCGAGAGAGCCCAAAGCTATTGGCTTTTCTTTAATTGTACATGTATGTTGGATGGTTTTCTTTTGAAAACGCAAGAAGAGCTTCTGATAGGTCTAAAATTGTCGGTTTTATTTTCTGGAATAATATGATAGTAATACTTAAAATAGGTCCGCGATACGTACACGTGTTAAATGCGTTTTCAGTCAACTGGAGCCATAATCAGAGATGGACAAAGGGTGAGCCGTTCATGGAGTAGTGGAACAAAACATAAGATTTAAGCAGGAAATGCTATTGACAGAAGAAGACTTTGTTTACCGAGGGATGTCAAATTAACTTGTACATGAAGTGTCAAGATGGTTTCCTAGAATTACCGTGAATCCTGTAAGTCCTGAATTACACTGAAGTTCTGATTGTTAAGTTTTTAACATGACTGTAAAGGAAATATAGACATGTTGAACAACAATCAATTTGCATGGAGAATTTAC